CCCCAAAACCCCAAAACCCCAAAACCCCAAATTACAAGATAAGATTGATTGTCATGTATTTAACAATTTGAAATTAATCTATTAAAAACTTAAGTATATTATTATTATTGCTTAAGTTAGGCTTCTATTCTCATTGGAGTAATAGAGCGAATGATATAAAGGCTAAGACAAAGAAATAGGTGATTGAAGTTATAACTCCTGAACTTTCTCCTGCGCAGGTTCTTGGACTCTTTGAACATGCTGGTGTAAATACTGGCCAATTTCCCCTTGCAAAACATGAGATAGTGTATGGATGGAAAACAGTTGTGACATAAACATACTCATTGTTTACATAAGCACCATTACAAAGATCTACCTCGCATGCACTCCAAACTGATCCATCAGCCTTGTAAGGTCCTAAAATTTTTCTACCATCCCTAGCAATACCAATTTCTTGGAGATTCTTGAATGTTGTTCTAGTTGTAATTAGGAATTTAGTCTTGTTAGAGTTGCAATTAGTATCATCAGTACATAATCCACCAGCGATTGCTGCTTTCTATGTTCCTGTAAGAATGCAGGGTGAATTGGAATAGTAATGATAGTATCTTGTGTAATCATTATTGCCTAGACACAAGTCAACAGGAATAGATTTAGCTGACTATCCATTATATGCCTTTGGCGAGAATACATCAAATCCAAGTTCTGAGGTACCAGCAAAGAATGGAACTCCATTAAGTGCAATACCTACTATCTTGAACATGTCAACTGCTTCATTTGCAGAAGGAGTATTCAACTCACTATATTACATAATAGCTAAGTTATCAGTTGAAATAGTCTTGTTTGGCCATCCGTAGGAGCAAAGTAATGCATCATAATCAGCTTAAGTAGTAATAGATGTTACTGGGGTGTTAATAGTATTGTTTTTCAATGCAAAGGCAACTTCGAAATCAATTTCATTTTCAATAGGAGCGTATTTATTGGCATAGTAGCAATGATCTGGTAATGAGTTAGTCTTTACTCTAATCAATACATAACCAGTATCGAAGTCTTTTCTGCATGTTACACAGAGTTTTCTACTCCATGCACAATATCCATTGCCATCGAGAGTTCCAGCACAAAGACCTCCATAATTATCTTGGCAGGTGTGAGTTTCAGAAGCCATTGTATCAAAGTCAGTAGGGGTTGCGAAGACATTATTTGTGCATGTTTATTCAAATTTAGCAGCGAAAGTTGCACAATCTGTCAAGCTTGGAGTGATAAAATCGGTTGCTGTGCAGACATCTTTATTAGAATGATCACCTCCTGAACATTTCCATCCCTCTTCAACTTTACATAAGGCGCTACATCTATAGAAATATTAGACAAATTTAAAATTACCCATCTCCATCAGCATTGTTTTAATCATCACATTCAACTTATCCCATATTCTTTCCATCGCCACATTTTTCAGTGCACACTGAAGGCTCTGCTGCAGTACAATCATATTCTGGTTCTACAGTGCATTCATTAGAGCATCTATTAAAAGTTATATTTCATTTATAATTACCCATCTCCATCATAGGTGTTTTGATCATCACACACTTCTAATTTTCTAATAAGACCATCTCCGCAAACTGAATCACAAGTATCTGGACCTGATGAGGAACCACCTGTGCATGCAAATCCTGATTCTAATGTGCACGTAGCTGAGCAACCATCACCGGGTGAAGTGTTACCATCATCACAAGCATATTTACCAAAGTCGTATTGATCACCACAAATTTCATAACAAGTATCTACGCCTGATGCAGAACCACCTGTGCATGTATATCCAGGCTCTACTGTGCAAGTTGCAGAGCAGCCATCAGATGCCTTAGTGTTACCATCTTCACAGCCTAGAGTACCATAATCATATAAGTCACCGCAATTTTCATAACAGTGATCTGGTAATAATGAAGTTCCTCCGTAACAGTACCATCCATCTTAGATTGCGCAATTTATACAACCATCGTTTGCAGTGCTAGTAGCATCATCACAATAGTTTGAACGGCCATCTGGCATATGAAGACCATCACCACAAACATCATAACATTTGTCAACATCACCTTAAGTGCTGCTCCCTCCAGAACAGTCCCATCCTGCTTCTTCTACGCAATCAGCGTTACAACCATCATTAGCTAGATTGTTTCCATCATCACATTCAAATTTTCCATGATCATATTAATCCCCACATATTTCATAGCAGGTATCTTGAGCATATGGACCACCTCCATAGCAGTACCATCCATCTTCGACTTGGCATTTATTGTTACAGCCGTCATTACTGTTAGTATTTGCATCGTCACAATCATTTGTAAATGTTGGGAAGTTATATCCATCTCCACAAGTTTCGTAGCAGTAGTCTCTAGTTGTTCTTGTACCGCCATTGCAATAGTGACCTCTTTCGATCTAGCATTTGTTGCTGCATCCATCATTAGATACAGAATTAGAATCATCACATGAATAAGTTAAACTATCAACCAATTTTCCATCACCACAAGTATCGTAGCACTTTGTTGGATAGTAAACAGGTGTTTTTGTTCCTGTAAATCCTACTGCTGCAACATCATATCCTGGACAATACCATCCATCCTCAATAGCGCAGTCATAACAGCCATCATATTAAACACTGTTACCGTCATCACATCCTAATAATCTTAGGTCGAATGCATCTCCACAGACTTCATAACAATGATCTGCTGAATCATAAGTTCCTCCAGTGCAATAAAATCCATCTTCGATTTCGCAGTCTACATTACAACCATCATTTATTACAGAGTTTCCATCATCACATTCAAATCTTGAAAAATCATAACCATCTCCACATTTTTCGTAACAATTTGTAGGTGTTGTTGAAGCTGAGGCAAATGTTCCTTCCATTGGAGTGCTTTCAAAAAGACAATACCATCCATCTTCAACCGAACAGTCACTGGTGCAACCATCGTAATCATATGTATTCAAATCATCGCAAGGAAGTGCGCCCCAGTTTTTGGTGTCTCCACATTTTTCATAGCAAGTATCTGATGTAGTATAACCTCCAAAGCCGCAATACCATCCATCAACAACAGTGCAATCAACACATCCTTCGTGGGCAGCACCTGTATCACAATAAGTAGCAAGAGTATTAAAATTCATTGAATCACCACAAACTTCTGCGCATGCTGTTGCAGTATCATAACCAGCTGTGGGATAGAAATTAGTAGTGCAAGTCCAACCTTATTCTAGCATACAAGTGGAAGAACATCCGTCATAATCATAATTATTGCCATCATCGCATTGCATATTTGACATATCATAACTGTAGTGTATACCGTCTCCGCATTTTTCATAGCAAGCACTGGCGGTATCATAATCTCCTCCATAACAGTACCAACCGTCTCTAATTGTACAGTCATCTAAGCACCCATCAATAGTACCCATTGAACCATCATCGCATACATTTTAGAGCATAACTGTTCCGTCTCCACAGATGTCATAGCAAGTATCTGGTCCTGTAGAAGTGCCTCCTCTACAATCATATCCTGTTTCTTCAAGACAATCACTGTTACAGCCATCATAATCATATACATCACCATCGTCACATTCGAAATGACCAAAGTTTTTGGCATCACCACAAATTTCATAACAAATATCTGGCTAACTTGCTGTACCACCAATGCAGTAATAACCGTCCTCAACACCACATAGGGTATTACAACCATCATATGCAACAAGGTTACCATCATCACAGAAAGTAGTCGTACCTGCATCTGTGAATCTTCTTCCATCTCCGCAATTTTCATAGCATGTATCATAATGGGTAGTACTTCCTCCAGAGCAGGAGAAGCCATTTTCAATCAAACAATTTGCATTGCATCCATCACCAGCATTTACGTTTCCATCGTCACAGTAAGTAGAAACAGAGAGATCGAATTTGATTCCATCTCCACAAATTTCTGAACAGAGATCAGTACTGTCATAGTCACCTCCAGTGCAGTCATAGCCATATTCAGTGACACAGTTAGAATCGCATCCATCATAGTTATCATTGTTACCATCATCGCAAGCAGTTGAACCAACAATCCAGTATTTATAATTTCTTCCATCTCCACAAACTTCATAGCAGGTGTCTGGATTTGTTTTAGTACCTCCAGTACAGTACCAGCCATCATTAACAGTACAAGTTGGTGAGCAACCATCATAGTCATATAGATTTCCATCATCACATTGATATCTTTTGTAGTCATATCCATCACCGCAAATTTCGGTGCAAGTATCTTTGGTGGTTGTTGTTGTATCATCGCATTAGAAACCAAACTCAACAGTACAGGTGCCTGAGCAACCGTCATTGTTTTTTGTATTTCCATCATCACAATAGTTTGCTGTGTCGTAGTTTATTGAATCGCCACAGATCTCAGTACAAACTGATCCATCAGCAGGAGAATCAGGTGGAACACAAGAGTAGCCAGCAACAACTGCGCAATCGTAACATCCACTGCAATCAGTTGTTCCACAATCGCAAGCTAAATAACCGTAATCGTAATGATCGCAGGCCTCAGTATAAGCTTGCTTAACGTCATAAGTATATGTACCAGCTAAGTAAAATCCATCTTCAGTTACGCATTCACTGCTGCAGCCATCAAGATCAACAAAGTTTCCATCATCGCATTAAGTTGAATCTAACGCTGAACCCCAATGATAGTTATCTCCGCAGATTTCTGTACAGGTGTCAGGGGCAGTTCTTGATCCTCCGGAGCATTCCCAGCCAGTCTAAATAACTCCAGCAACACAACCAGATGTTGAGTCAGTCACAACATCGCAGGCGAAACTTCCAAAATCTTTTCCATCCATAGAGATTTCATAGCAAGTGGTAGCATCATCAAGGTCACCTGGACCTTCTGGTAAGCAATACCAGCCATCTTCTACAATACAGTTGAAACAGCCATCATATCTTATTGAGTTTTTATCATCACAGGCACTTCCAGTATCATATTGATTAGAGTTTACTAAGTTTAAACCGTCTCCACATATTTGAGTGCAAACATCAGGAGTTGTTTTGGATCCTCCACTACAAGTCCAACCATCTTCTTTCGTACAACTTGTGCTACAACCGTCGCCCGAAACATTGTTTGAATCATCGCATTGAGTCACACCAGCCGTTTTTAAATTTTTTCCATCACCGCATTTCTCAGTACAAACTGACGGATTTGTATTGACAACGCAATCAAACTCTATTTCAATAGCACACGCGGAAGAACATCTAAAAATAAATTTAAACTATATAAGGAAAGTTTACCCGTCTCCACTTTTATCATTTCCATCATCGCAATCTTCTGAACCATTTTTGATAGCATCACCACAATAGGTGACAGCAGTACCGTTTACAGTAATTTCTTAGTTTAGCATGATTAGTGCAAGAACTGAAATTGTCGCCATTTTCTATAATCTCCAAGGATTATTTGGTCTTCTTGACTTCATATGTATTCTTATTTAAATAATTGTTAATTTTTATTCGATTAGTAGTAACTATCAACTAAGGTGGATCCTTGAATTATAATTATTATTTTATGTCGAAAAAATAATATAATCAATTATTGCCTCTTTTCTATTTCTTCTAAAAATATTTAAAACTTTCACCTACTAAAATTTCCAAAGGATTTGCAAGATGGGGTTTTGGGGTTTTGGGGTTTTGGGG